TGCACAGAGCTCTGCGGCTGAGATCAAGCTCTATATAGACACTGTCCACATCTCAAAGAGTATCATCTCACTTGGAAAAAAATAAGATTCTATTTAATAACAAAGGAGTTCAGCATTAAACCTCAGGCCTACTAATAAATCAAAGTTTCTGATATTTGTTGTTACATTAAATTTCAATTAAAAAAAGTTTGGTGGTTTGTTTACTATAAATACTTCCCTGGCAGTGGCATTAAATAACAAATAAATCCTTTTAATCAGCTAAACTTATAGATTCTAGTTCTACCTTGAACTGTGTTAAGTATTGATTACCTCAATTATTTTGTCAATAGTATGTGCATAATTACACTAAATGGTCCATTAAAGAGCTTTTAGAAACATTTTGTGAAAAAATCATGCAACTGCCCCCAAATCACTTTCCAAACTCAATTTTATAGCTTGAAGTACAAACTTGTTGATCAAGAAGTATAAAAGCAAAATGGAGAAAATAAATTGTCACATGAAACTACTTGATCTAAATATACTGAAGTAAAAAATGTGAATCCAACTGCCATTTAATATATGTTGCTGGTCAAAAAAAGTAGTTATATGTTGGACTTAGTATTTACATAACCTGTTTTTAAAACTTTGAATGCCTCTGAGATTTCAGAGGAATGGCCATCACTCACAGAAGTTTAATAAGGCATGAAATATGCAAAAAAGTAATTTCTTTTTCATACATCATGTTACCTTTTTTATGACCCAAAAAGTGCAAAACCAGACAGGAAAATAAAGTTTTTCACAATGATCTCAGAATATAGTCATTATTCTATGTTCTGATCAAGAGCAACTCTCAGATATTATGTGCTGCTCAGAAAGTTTCTTTTATTAAAAGAGAAAGAAAAATAAGAGAGAGAATTTCAGTGCCGTATGTGATTGCAGCAAAACTGCCCTGTTCTTATGTAAAACAATGCATAGGAATAGAGAATTTGGCCTCACTAGATCAGAAGTTTAAGAAAGTTAATGTTCTGTCTTTAGAAACTGCCTATGCCTTATGCCTTAAAGTCTGACAAAGAAAAAACCTAATTTGCCTGAAACAATTTGTCAGTGTGATACACACAGAACAGGAATAGACACAATACCTTCCAAACCTTGTGGCCCTCAGCCTGCACCCTTCAGCATTAAACATCTCTATCAGTGATGTCAGGTTGGAATTATGAATTTTACTTCATTGATGATTAGTTACCAAATGATTTAGACCATAATACACTACATTTCCATATATTATATAACATTTTAGGTGTATTAAATCAAAGAACTCTTGATATCAATTTAAATTTACCCTGGGAATTTGTTTGTTCTTCCCCCAAAAAAGATTTTAGAATTCTAACTTTTTAGGATAGACATCTTCTCTTTCTAGGCAGTTTGCAGGCCTGTAGCAGATTGTTTTGTATTTTTAAATCATGAAGACATGTAGTTGCAATATAATGCATAAAAGTTTCAAATAAAAGGGTCATTTCAACCAGCTGAATGATATGGATATGTTATAGCCCTGTGATATACCACATCTACAGGTGTATCTGTGGTGTAGGAAAAACAGCATGGATGCCTAAGTCTTCTGAAACAGCTTAATGCAATCTTAAACATAAAATTGCACCTTTTATTCATCTCTATAAGAATATGCTTTCAAGTTCAGGAAAGTCCTTCAATAGATCCTCCTGGTATTATGTCTTTGGCACGGTCTAACAAAAATCTCACTGAGTTTACGTTGTTACAAATTTCAGAGGGTTTCAAGATAGAAAAAACAACGGAAGACCCACAAAGGAGAATTCTTAACCGATTCTCTTATCATTAACATTGAACTTAAAACAGCTCTAACTACCTTCATATAAGTTATTATTTAATGCAAAATATGCATACTCAAGTAAAAAGTAAAAACAGAACACTTTGGAATTACCAGGACAAGAAACCAGAAACAAAAGAAGTGAATACTTACTTACTTGTAGGAACATTTAGAGCAGATTGGGGATTTACAGATATTAATATGGGACAGTGATTGCAAATGCTACATTCCCATGTATCTGCTCTGAACTTTCATAGCCTTTAGTGAAAACCACTGAGCTATATTTGAGCACAAAGATACAACTATCTGAGAATACCCACAATCTACAAAAACTTTGCAGATGTAAGTAGTTTCCTTATGTAAAAGTAAGGCAGTCTACAAAACCCACTTCTTGCAGTTCAGCTTTCCTTATCATGCTTTCATCAATAAATCAAACTCCATCAGCCTCTTATGGCTTAAGAGGCTGAAAGATGTAGCATGCCTTGCATTCTCACAGTCTTGCACATATGCTTAGGCACCCTATGAAGGGGATTAGAGGCTCTGCACAGGTCTTACTATGTGCTTTAACATGTAGGTTTTGTGGGTAGATTTCCTGTTTTTGCTTCTTATTTATCTAACATCAATTTTCACATTCTGTTTATTTTATTCTTTCTGTTTTGCAGCACCACAGGCCTCCACTAGGTCATCACTTTTAACACGGTCACAAAGACTTAAACTTGCAAGCAGAGAGCTGTCAAAAGCATCAAATATATCAAAACAAATACACAAAAATAGTTCTGAGTCATAAAACAAGGAGTGTTTTATAGGACATCCTTTTAGGTAGTGTCTCTTCACAGGGTCATAAATCATCAGTTTACATTGAATTTGAAACATGAGCACAATAGATAGAATACAGTATTATGAAGATTTTCCTTAAAACTAAGTATGCAATTTGTATACACTGTTTTAAATGTCAGTAGTTTAAATGTTAGCTGTCCATTAGTTTCAAACTGAAGCTAGCAGTTGTAACTTAAACTCTCACAAGTCTTACTGCTCAAAATGGACTGATTTGATAATCAGGTTATGGAGCTTTACGTTTTACTTTATTTTTCAAGTTACTTATTTGTAAAAAATATTAATTTTTAGCTCAGACATATTTTAATTTAAGAACAGGTTTTGCTTATTAATTTCTCATACTACTATGGCATTCCATTTGACATATAAACCTAACAGATCTTAGAGAGATCTAATTCAACCTGTAAAAAGATGATAATCTTTCCCTAGATTCAACTTTGCTATAATACAAACTTCATTATTAAGGGCTGGTGTTTTAAGACCGCCATCTGAGAAACCTAAAGAATATCTGTTCCAAATGTATTACTGCTGACTGTATCACTTCCAAACTTGACTCACTAAGACATACTAACCTCATGCACCTTACTTTATAAAGTCAAGACTTAGACCAAAGACAAATTTGACTTTGTGTTTTGTTCTTACTCAAATTACAAAAAAGAACAGTAAAGAATACATGATGATAATTGGTTATGTCCCTCAAGTACAAAAAAGGGAAAGCGAGGTGATTAAACAAGATTTAAAATGGAGGACCTAAGGTTTAGAGCACATAATCAACAACCTGGCAAATATGTGCACTCATAACAGATGATACTGCCAGGTATAATCTGAAATACAGTATAGTCTAAATTTTCAACACCAGTTCTGATGGCAGAGCTTTCGTTGCCTCTCTTTCAGAGACAATGTAGGTGCTAATTCTTTTTTTAGGACACAGACCCCTAAAGGACCTCCAACTTGGCCAACTGAAAGACTGCACACTCTGCACAACTATTAAAATTCAGTAATTTTGCCCTGATTTAGCAGATGGAAGTGAGAACAGCTGTTTGTGAACTAGAGTAAAATTATTTATTTAGATTTACATATACACACAAAACTCACTACACCTATCCATGTATTACAGGCATTCTGAATACTTGGAAATTCAACAAAATCAAGACCCATAACTAGCTGAAGTGTTACTGTATAGCGAAACAACTACAGAAACTAAGCAACTCTAAAAAATTAAAGGATTTCCAAAGGATTTTCAAATTCCAAAGGGAATGGATTATTTTTTTTCCAATGCCAGAAGTGTACCACATGAAGAATACAGCAGTTAATCTATTTGAGACATAACAGAAGGAGAAGAGCATATTCAGAAGTCCTTTATATCCTGAAGAACAACACATTTCTAACTTTATTCTCACCCTAGATTGGGATAACAGTTCAAACATCCCCTCTGATCATATCTCTGCTGCTGTAATAGTAGCAACTTTTTAGGCAGTTACATAATCAGTAACTGGTATACAAGCCAATACCAATATTTCAAGGCACCTCCCAAAATCCCACAAACAGACAGCATAGTTCAAGGAACTCAAGCTGAACATTATCATACTGTCATAATTCAGTGCACAAATAGATCTTGAACTACTATCATCTTCTGTGTGTTTTTTATGCATAACCCTATATATACTTGTAGTGACAAAGACATTGGAGCCTTCATCTGGCAATCTTGTTTAATTACTGGGTTAAAAACAAGGCTCTGCACAAAGCATGGATGCATTTTTTTTTTTTTTTTAACAACTGGTTATATTAATGCCTTCATTGATTCTGATCAGTGTTTTAGAATTACCCAAGCATCTGGCCAAGTTCAAAAGGAGAAAGATTGCTACGAAGTCCTAGATGTTCCACGAAAAAGCTCACTATTTTCAGATCTGCCACACTTCATTATTTACATGGTCGTTACCTTACCCCATATGCTATTTAAATTATGTTTTTTATCTACATAGTCTTGCCCAAAAGAAGACAGGTAGTGCTTTCATTGTCTTCTTTGATGACTCACAGATCTCATTTGCATTCAGACTATTTTTTCATTAATTTATCACTATAATGATCATAAAAAGTTTTTGTACATAAAAGTAAAAATGAAAAGTGATTGTGCTAATGCATTTCAGTTGTTTCTATTAGAGCAAGCTATATGACTGGATGACATTTATTACCAAACAAACTTATTTTATCATAAATGGAACCCATTACAACAATAATGGAAATATACTCCTTTTAACGTTTCACTTGAGTTTTTTTTCTGCCTGCTAGGAATTCTAGTTATGAACTTAATTGTGCCAAGGATAGACCAGTCTTTTCCAACACTTACCCTCTGACAGCATGAATAAGTCTCAGTGATGGATAGGCGGTTCTCACTTTCAATTTATTCTTAAGGATTAATGCATTAACCCACTCCACGTGCTTCTCTCCACCTTTGACCATGAAAGCAGGGATCCAAAGGACACTGTCATTCAGCATGGATAGTCTATGCACAAATTTTTCTCTGTCACTCTCATTCCGAAAGCCTCCAAATGCTCTTTGTACAACTGATGGGTTCATGGTAATAAAATCAGATTTAGTTCCCACATCAGCAGCAAACTTCACCACAGGGGCCAGATTGCATCTGAAGAGGAAGAAATTAATGGAAAAATTAAAATAAATATGAAACATTAACTCAGAAAAATGTGTGCATGAAGGGAAATCTGAAAAAGAACATTCAAGACCATTTCAATTTAATCTGAGGAAAAAAATACCAGTGATAATACATAGCATTTTACCCAACTTGGACACCCAGACAATTTTTTAAAAAACATTAAATGTAATAATGCTGGAAGACAAAAAAAATTCTTTGTACATTTGAAAACCATGTCATCATGCTTTAAAATGCATCAACACCTAGAATAGCACTTATGAATAAGAGTATGCTTCCTACACCTATTACTTTTCATTAATGTTCATTTGTCATCGTGTTTTCAACAGCTCACATTCTTAAAGGAAGCCATGCCAGCCAATTAAGGTATAATTTATACATTGCAGGTTTTTTTACAATACAGTATTTAAATATGATTTATGAATTAACCTTACTACATATGAAATGATTTTTCGCTATTTTGTTTTTTGGTATTATCACTGCAGCTGATTGGATGTCTTGAAATTTAGAATTTTCATTTCATTTAGAAGTGACATTTTTGGAAAAAAGTATTAATCTTTCCATTCTTCCTTGATGTCTCATTTTCAAACCTTGTTTAATTTTTCAGTAGCTTTGTGCTTTTTTCTAGGCTTGAGAAAAAGCTCTCATCAAGGCTTTGTTCAGCAGTTTTTTACCTCAGTTATATAAATACATATATATGTAACCACACAGAGGCAGCATTCTCTATGGACAGCATTTGATGCAGGTGACAAAACGCAATTCAGAAATTAATTGTGATTTCAGTGATCAGTATGATCTGATCGAAACAAATCACCTCCACAACTTCCACAGTGAATTAGCCCGTAGTTGGTATGCCCCAAGTAAGTATCCTGACACAATTATTTTCAAAATTTAACAAGCTGCTCTGTTGAAGTGAAGAATACTAGGAAGCAATGTCAAAACTAGGTCCTTCAAAACATTTGCATGTTATTATTTTCCTAATATAAATAGTATTCTGTTAGTTCTGCAATTCTTTTCTGGTAAGCTTTTTACTTAAGCTTATCCCCCAGCATCTTCTAATGTCAGATCTCCAATGTTATGTAAGAATAACTAAAGTCAGCAGGGCAATATTGATTAACACCAACTGATGACCTAGTCCTGACTGATAATACTAATTTATCAGAACATAATTTTAATTCTGTAATTATCAGCTAAAGAAGTGGTCTTATCTTCTTTAGAAATAAATGTTCTGAAGACCATAAAGTCTATATATTGTCAGGAGATAAAGCTGTCCAACTTTCTGATGACATGTGGGCAGATGTAAGCCTTCTTAGGAAAGGGATTTACATTCTTCACTATATTTATACATCTGTTCCACAAATCATCTGCATGTATTACAGGCTGGTAAGAGTAATAACTTTTGGAAAATGGTAGTTAGGGCACAACAAAAACTCCTACTTATTTCAATACTGTATCTGAAAATTGTTTCTAAAAATCTTAATGCATGAACTTATAGTCTAGAATCGCCAAAGTTTAGTATTGCATAAAAATGAAATATAATAATAAATAAAAAATCAAATGAAGGACTTAAAATTAACCAATCAAATTCACTGAATTATTGTTCCTCTTGGAAATTCCTATTTTAAGGGCAGACTGCACAACATCATGGTCAATTCTTACACAGTAGGGTTTTCTTCAGTAGTCACATATGTATGCACATGATGACATCTATTACAAACATAAAACAGAGCTTGACATTGCAAATCCTGCTTTCTCTCTGTCCAACTTTGAGGAAAACCAATGTACCAAAACTGCCTTGTTTAAAAAGCTGTATGCCATATCCAAAGTGTACACACATAATATAGGCTTTATGGTTCTAATGTGATTCCATGTCTTTTGTCAGCTCCTTTCTGATCTGGCAACAGCATCAGTGCCTAAATCATAAAGGAGTATGTAGTTAAGTGTAACTTCACCTAAATCCTGAAAAAAAAAATCATAGCTATACTAAACATAAGGTCTACCTACCTTGCATGTCATTACTGCTTCATCAGCAGTATACTTAATACCAAATACTGCATTTTAACAAAGGTATACAGCATACGCAGTATAAACGCTTAACATACTGCATATTTAGATTTTTCGAGTATAACTTCAGAAAGTAATATGCAATCCAAATACACTCAGCAACAATGGAATTATCTATGAACAGTTATTTGGAATATGAGTCACATTTTTCAAGCTTTAGTGTCTCGTATTAGACACCTGATTATCATATTAGAGGAATGTAAGGTATTTTGCTTTCCAAATGCTGAGCATGTCTTAACCTTTGATTTTTTAAAAATTCAGCTATTTAAATATGGATTAGAAGCAGTGTTAAAGTTTGAAATAATGTGATAAGTACATCTGCACTTTGAAAGGCTCTGTTTTCAAAGAAGTAATTACATGCTGTTAGCAGTACACTGATAAGATTGTTATTTTAGTAGAACATGAATGTAAGACAAGCTACACAAATTTCTAGCTCTGATAAGGAAATAAACATTACTAAATCAGTTGTAGCTGACCAAGTTATAAGAATATTACCCTCATTAAGTACACCTGAGTATACGTAAATAGCTTTTGTTACCTGTTTCAGGGCTTTTATCTTAACCTCTAATGCATCTTTATGCTATGCCACAGCTTCATATAGTTGTTGAAATTTTCAAGTTTATTAATTGGTGTCAATGATCTCCCATAAATTCTCAGGACTCTTTCAAGAAAACTTCATATTTAGAGACACACATAAACACATACTTATTTTCTTTTAAGTCAAATTAAGAAACCTATTAACTGAACAACTTTGAAATAGGTAATGCAAAACCCTTCTCTTGTTAAATTCTTAAATTCTAGCTCATTTAGCATAAGGTACAGAATGCTGGATATATCCACAACAATGATGATAAGGTGAGGGAGACTCTGCATCATAAACTTTACCACTAGGTGCCTAGGAGTTTGTACACAACAAATGAAACTTTTTTTTTTTTCCTTAAGTTGTCATTGCTATATCAAATCCAGCAGGAATAATAAATAGAAGACTGCAATTTACTAAGTGTCCTCTTTCTTACATCCTGCAATTATTGATACCTTGAAACTGTATGTTTGCTTAAAATTTTACTCCAAAGTTTTCTTCAGCATATCACCATCTTCCATTTATCCTAAAAAAACTTCAGTATTACCTTCATGTTTGTCAACTTGAAAGTAAGTGGGCTGCAAGTCAAGGAATAGAATAACTGAGATCCTAAGATACACAGACCAAAAAGTCTTAGTGATTGAATGCCTGCTTCTTCCACAACTGTCTGTTGCATATATTAGTTACAGTGGGATAGATTAAGAAAAAGTATGGGGAAAAAAGAGCCAAATTGCCAATGTTTGGAGTCACATGCCATGAGAAAAGACTGAAGAATGGAGTAAGTGCTGCTATACCACACTTACATCAAAGCAATTAATCCTGGGTTTGCTGTGACACCTTTATGTCCCAAAGAGATCCATAACACACTTAAGTCTTTTAGAGAGCAGACCTTAACAAAGAAAACAACGAAAACATATTCAGAAAAATACACTCAAATGAGAAGTCAGTTATTCCATGGAGATTCAGTTGAACTTGCTTGGTCACTAATAAATGTACAGCTCATGTATATGTACACAAATGTCCAACACATAATATTCATAGCCCATATAATATTATTTTCAAGGTAATTTTAAATTAAAATTATAAAAATTTGCTTGAGTAAAAATCATTACTATTTCCATTTTATTTGAAATTGAGAACTAAAAGAATATTCTTCATACAGTAATAATGCAAGAATTGGTCATGAATCTGTACACCTGTTAATCCTTCAGCAATCTGTGCACTTGAGGTTTACAGATTGACATAAATATTTAGAAACCACTCTAAAGCTCAAGCTGCACTAAAGGGCTATAAAAACATTGTTTCATTAATATATTCTCCTCATAGAGCAAAGACAAAAATATTCATCACACAATATTGACCACATACACTCTGAGAAGTCAAAAAATGAGAATTAGATTGTTGCTGGAAGACATAATATTAAGCCTCTCTGAAATATAAGACATTACCTAAACTAGTATCTATAACACAGACTCTTTCCTGAATAGACTGCAAGCTTTTATATTCAGGTTCATATCCACAGTCTTATAAGAATGAAAATTGTAATCCTGAATTCAAAGATTCTTGACATTTTAAGAAACACTTGGAAGGCTTAAGCACACAGGAAGAAAAAAAAGTTACTTTCAAGGCAGCAGACAACCTAACAGTTGGAGTACTTTCTACCCAGTTTACTTGCAGGAATAATACCTGTGTATATGCCACACATCATTTCACCTGGTTCTTCAAACAAAGGTGTGCAGCAGCACAGTGATAACTTTCACATATACATACACCCCAAAAAAGGAGATTTACCAAAAAAAAAAAAAAACAACCCCCCAAAAAACATACATAAACAAACCTCCTATGTCTCCCTGACAAATCTAATGATTAGTAAGGTATATGGATTCTCACATGTTGCGTGCACTTTTTTGGCTCCTGAGAAAACTAAAATTGCTTCAAATTAACTACAGGGATATGGATTAGCAGGGAATCCCCTAAATACCCACTTCATCCAGTCCTTACCCTCTGCATGGCACAATAGAGAACGTCTCATGAGAGCTGCAGGCTGTGTAGAGGCTCAGGTACAGCATAATTATAGATTCTGTTCACACAGAGGAATCATAGTTGTCTTTTAAAGTGTGCCATGTAAAATATACCATACCCCTTTTATAACTCAAGTCCACAAGAATCCTGAATTTATGACTGATTTCACTTTAGTTAGAAGATGCATTTTTGTAATATCACCTGCTAATAAACTTCATTACTTCTTGTTGCCCAAACTAGAAACTATACTGATAATCATTAAATTCTTTCTTCCTAGCACCTACCCTAACACGGGTGACTGTAATGA